GTCATCTTCAAAACTTCGCAATTGGCTTAAAGGGATAGTTCACCCAAAAATGAAAATTACCCCATGATTTACTCACCCTCAAGCCATCCTAGATGTATATGATTTTCTTCTTTCAGATGAATAAAATCAGTTTTATAAAAAAAAAATGTCCTGGTTCTTCTAAGCTTTATAATGTCAGTGAATGGATGTTGAGATTTTGAAGTCCAATAAAGTGCATCCATCCATCATAAAAATACACCGCACGGCTCTGAAGCCGTTCTGAAGCGAAGGGATGCGTTTGTGTAAGAAAAAATCCATATTTAAGGTGGCGTTCCAGACTTATGCGTAGCGTAAACTCTGGTGAAAATATGCTAGTCTTGTGAGAACCAAGTTTTGTTTACAGCAAAGGAAAACCAGTCTCCTCTTGGTTTATATCAAAATCCTCCCACATTTTTCTTTACAAATCCTTGTTTTGCACTTGACCAGTGTTTTGTTTTGCTCTCTCTTCCGTGTTTCTGCGTTCGTCATTTCTCACCAGAGCTGACGCTACACCTATGTCCTATGTCCTACAAAATAGCTTTATTTTTTAATACTATGGAAGTCAATGAAGAACAGCAACAGCACTCTTCAAAACATCTTCTTTTATGGTCAATAGAAGAAAGAATCTTTTGGAACAACTTGAGGGTGAGTACATTTTCAGCAAATTTTTATTTTTGGGTAAACTATTCCTTTAAATAGTAGACAATGAAAGTGACGCATAGGCCTATATATTTTTTACATTTACCTTTTTTTACTATTACTACTCGAATCTTTCTTGTCATTCTAAAGTTATATGCATCCTCCAACATTTGTGTGTTCATTTAGTAAGTATTTTAACTAACGTGACAATATAAACACATTTTAAGATATTTAAATCCAAAGTATGCACAAAAAGTGTGTATTCCATACGGGCCTACTTAACACATTCCCGCACAGCAAAGTCATCTGTAGCAACTCCAACACAAGAAGCATTAAATAAATGTGTGAACAAAGGAGCATAAAAATAAAAATAGCCGAGCTCCCATCACGGGGCCCATTTCTCTCTCAGTGGCCATGCGCTGGGACGACTGAGGAGTTAATACAAAACTAATTAGCAAAAATTGACTGGTGCCAACCCCCCTCATTCCTTTTCCTGCCTCACTATGCAGGGGGACAGCGGTAAGCCCAGACCACAGGTGTACCGCTCACGCCGGCTCTAGATTACTGCCCACTGCCTCGGCGCTCGAAACCCTTCACCGCGCTCCCCAGGCCGCGGTTATGTCAGCGAGGAAATGGAGTGTGATGAGCTGCATTTTAAACAAATTGTCGGAAAAGAAAGAAACACAATCGTTTTTGAACCACAACAATGAAAGCGATGCATTAATGCACGGTTGAGACCCTACTTTGGGCGCCAACTAACGTGGTCCAAATTTGCGGGGAAAGATCGGCGCTGACAATGCACATTAAACGGATTACACAAATTTGCCTTGCAATCAGGTTTAGGAGAAATTCACCCACTAAAGGCAAGTGGCTGCGCAACGAAACATCTTACAGTGTTTCTCCGTCCCAGAACCATCTGCTTCGTTTAATCCAATCACATTGCAGCAGGAAAAAAATGGTTCAAAAGGAGGTCAAATGCAATGATATTAAAACTGACTCCCATCATTGGATCCGAGCTGGTCCTTCAGCACTGGGTCTGTGCCAAAGCGGCATTTGCACAAGATAACTTGTTGCACGATGTATTTTTATGAATGGCCGACAACCTCGTTTTTAATGAATGGTACTGTGTGAAAGAGCACAGTGGCATGGTCATTGTTGCAGTAACAGGGCCGGTCGGTGGGATTTAGCAAGCAGAAAGCAGGGGAGGGTGGGTGCAAGGGGGTGGGGAGGTCCCAGCCCACAATGTGTACTGCAGTAACCACAGCAAAGGCTGTGGTTTATCCCACAATCGCCTTAAATAGATCCAAATTATTGTTATTCCTCAGCCTGTGGAAAGGAAGAGGAATAAAAAACGGCTGTAACACAAGATATACCAAAAGTCAGCCTGAAGATATCAGCGGATTCGGTTACTGGCGTAAAGAAAAAGTTCTACGAATCGGCTTGCTATAGCATTTGACCGGCTTTTGCAAAAACTTTTAGCCTGCTTCCTAGAACTTAATACGAATTTATAAAAACTTATGACTGGGCGCCTCGAGCATGCGTCATCAAAGCTAACTAGTTTTGAAAGACACACTGTACAGTAAATCTGTTTAAGAGCTCACATGGAAGTGGGTCAGATGTCTTTACAAACATTACACATGCAAACGGTTTGTTCGATGCGGCTCCAGGTCAGTTAAGGTAAGTCCAGTATAAATATCTATCAGCCTGGCTAGAAATGTACACACAGGCCCGGTTGAGCATTTGTTATCTATCTGCACCAGCGGTATCCTTCCATTGTGTAGTGAGTCTGAAAACACTGGAATGAGACACAACTACAGTTCACAACAAGTGAAATTGCATTTAGTTGACATTTATAATGACAGGAACTTCAAAGAATTCTATACAATTCTGTATTTCATTAATGCATCTTTTAAATTTTATATGACAACACAATATCCTTTTTTTCCGCAAAAGTAATAATTTAGTCTTGAACTTGAAAGGGAACTAAATCTAGGAGAAACATCTAACATCTAGGAGAAAATTTTATGATTTTAAAAATTAAATACATTTTAAAATATTTTAAAAGTAGCTTGTATGTTAAAATACCAAAAATAAAACATTGCGAGGGAAGAATTATGACTTGATTTTTTAAAAATTAAATAAATAACATTTAGTCTTAAATGTAACATAACTACTTAAAACTACTTAAAAGGAAACTGGTGTAATGCTAGTCTGGGTCTCTATGGCTATTAGCCCCTTTCGGCTGGTTTATACGGCACACCACTTTGTGGCCCAAACAAAACCACCTGTTTTAACAGGAGGTCAAGGGGGCAACCCAAAACCAAAGCTTGCCCTCCGCTTGACTGGTTGCTAATGGGAGTGGATGTTTATCTAGGAGGTCAAATGCCTTGAAGATGGGGTCACGACCCTAACATCTTAAGCCGTGACCTCTCCCACGTGTGGAGTGCTCCTGTCGTAAATTAGCCACGGTTACACGTCCTCAGGCCTCAGCGAACACCGCATTTGTGTCTTTTTCTAGCTCTCGTGTTACTTTCTGTTAAGAGATTTATGGCATCTGACTAAAATTACGAACTGCGTGACTGCTGAGATTAGAAAAATGGTTTTTTTAAAAACATGTTCTAAGAAATACATTTCAAAAATACTGGAAAATATTGAAAAAACTTAGAAGTACAAACTTGAACTTTAACATATATGAAAAAAAAACTTACATTAGAACAATTGATTTTTTTCTGAAAAAAACCTTTCTATCTTTTTTCTATCTATTAGATAGAATAGAAAAATACTGAATAGTGCAAAAATATTGACACAATATTAAGAAATACAAACTTAACTTTGCAAATTATAAAAAATATTCAAATATATTAAATATTAGTGAAAATATTGAAGAAATATTAAAATAATTGAGAAATACAAACTTAAAACTTACAAAATATAATGAACAATACTGAAAATTTTGAAATCTAAACTTACATATAAGAAAAAAGTTGAACATTACTGCACATAAATAGAAAAGCATTGATACAAACAAACTCACAAACAAATATTGAAATACAAACGGAAAAGTCAAACTCGTAGCTTATTATATTGTTCCTCTAGTATATTTGAGTTTCTGTTTACCTAGATTGAATTGAAACCTCTCTTCCAGCCATTTCCCCTAATATCGATAGGTAGTCGTATTATCGTCAAGATGAAGTGGGTGTGTTTGCTGGCCTGCACCCCTTTGCCCTGGCAAGACTGTGGGATAAATTTAATTACTGACTTTAGCTCCTCTCAGAAGCCCCACTTTCGCCATCTGTGTATGAGGTCAGGCTCTCTTCAGATGGCTTTTAATCAAGGGGGCTCCAGCAATGCTCCACTGCTTTAAATAAGACAGAGGACGAAACCTGATCGGCCCGAATGCAGGTCAGAGACGAGGAAAGAGAGAGAGAGAGAGATAGAGACTCATGCGTATTTCTTCCTCTTGTTCTCTCGCTGATGTCTCTTATTTACCATCGAATCAAAAAGAAACGGTAACTTCGCCGATTAGGATGTTAGCAGGACGCTCCCCGCTGAATAGGCTTTCAGAACATCAAAACTAAGGATTTCGGCAGGCCGCGGGGAAACGCGTTTCAGCGACGGTGTCGTGCTTATCCTCACAAAAAGCTCAAAGGCTCCGGGCCTTTGTGTTCCCACCAAGTCAAAGTAATTCACACGCTCCCGTTTTGCAACCTGCCGTCTGCCAGATAGCCCGGTTTTCCTACGCGGCGCTAAAGCTCACGTTTTACGGCTTTATCTCCGGCGTCTTCGGGTTACACGCTGTTTTCACTCTTTTATCGGTACCTCATCAAAGCGCGAGTCCGTACGGAATGCCGGGAATGGCGGAAACGCGCGCTGCCAACTCGCTCGGTGCCACAATTTGCGTGCGAGAGGAAACAATGTAATTAAGGTGCTCAGTTTGCCTTGCGAAACAAAGTGCGCTTCTTGTCTTCCAAGTAAAAGCCTGCATTTGTGCCGCTGTCAGTGCAAGACGGATCCCCTGCCGCCTTCTGCCAATTAACAGTCGCTCCGTCAGATATTTGTGCCGGACTTTTCCGTGTTAGCTTCTTGCAGTTAGCAGTTAGCAGGAAAATTCACTTTCATTTACATATTCAGCTAAAAGTCTGCATTTTTTGGCATATCTTTTGGCATAAAGGAAGCAGCGGATTCGATTTGATTTGAATCCGACAGCTTCCTTATTGACTGTTGATGGATAGTAAACAGTAAAATCCTAAAAAGTGCAATCCATTACGATAAATTGCGTTACACATTTTGCCGTGTCATTCGCACACATTCAACAGATTTACTCAATTCAAAACGGGACTTACCTGCATGCACAAAGTAGGCCAAGTACAGGTCGAGCTCCTTTACGGAAACTCCTATGTGATGCGGCTGCACGCACAGCCCCGGATTCGAGCACTGCGGAGACTTAACCAGCCTTTCGCCGTCAGTACTTTCAAGCGGAATACCTTTGAATAAAATCACCATGACCAGGTCCAAGCGCCACACTTTGTCCGCCTGACGCAGGCAGTCAATTCTCCTCATCTTGCCCTTCTGGTCGGGGTTGGCGAGCACACAGCTAGGGGGCTTCTTCCCGGTGACAGAGAGCACAAAATCCTCGCGGAACTCCGGCCGGATGTCCTTGCGGAGTTTGGCCAGCAGCCGCGATGCCCACTTCTGCTTGACCTCCGGCTTCTCGCTGAGCAGCTCGTCCTTTACAGCTCGCTCCTCTTCCTTAGACATGCGCTTCTCGTGCTTCTTGAAGTATTTTCTCTTGCGGGCCTGCAAGTTGAACCAAGTGTAGGCAAACGCTCTCACATGGGGCAGCAGTGCTTCAATGAAAGGATGGAATTCATCCTGCGAAGAAGGATATGGGAGTGGAAATTAGTCTGAATGACTTTTAGAAACATCCTTAAAAATATAAATACTAAAAATCCTTTCTTTAATAAAGCAACTGCAAAAAAATGTAACTAGCTAAAGTACAAATTTCTCACAGCAGACACCATGAAAGCGAAACATCCACGTCTACATAAAATCCCTTTTGATTATTTTGAAAAACGGCCCTCAACAGCAGGACTGTGTCTGTGAACCGAGCAGAGCAGAGCAGTGTGTGTGTGTGTGTGAAGCTCGTCTAGGACATATCTTGGCTCTCTGGCAAGAATGCTGGTCTGTAGGGGTCTGCCAGGGCCGAGAAAAAGCAACAACCGACCAGGAAAATTGGAGTGGCTATTTTTATCTGTTCTCCCTAAAAATGCACACACGATTCCAAAAAACCGAGCTACTTCATTCGCTATCAGCGAGGAGTGTGTTGTTTTCACACAGGAGTGTGTGCGGGGCAGATTGTGCCGGCTTTTGGGATCCCTTCACCTGCCACTGGTGCACAACCTGGCAGAAAATCAATTTTTAAAATATAATGAATAAAAAGATCAGCGAAATATCGGCCGCGACGTTAAAACATATTTTTGTACGTGGTCAAAACTCCTTCTTTCGGTGGATACATTCATGCAGGGATTTTTATTTTTTATTTTTTGTCTACAATATAATTTCATATTTACATAATATCACTGTATAACCAGAAATGCAGTTATTTAGGAAAGCTGCATAATGCAATAGCAGGATTTTTTATTATACAAACTACAAGCATTTGTAATATTGTACATGTGCTTGATTATCAAAATAATAAATACATGCTTTTCTGTATTTGTAGGCCTGCATGTCCATTTCTTGATTGCCTTAAAAAAACAATACACACTAATAAGTGGGCAAATAAATAACGTGCGGTTCTAATATGAAATAATTTGGGATTTTACACAGAAAATAACTCAGGGTTTTTATTACATAGAGAGAATAATGGCAGACTGCCAATGACTAGAATAACATTTCCACAAACAGCAATAGCCCTGCATCATGTCCCAAAACCGACTGTGCGAGAGCACGAGAGGACTGCCAGCAAGCAAGCAAAGTGCACTATGTGCGGAGCAGATTTCATTTGAATAAGCACAGATATGAATATAACGCGCTGGGCCTCGGACCAGTGCCTTTAGAAATTTAACAATTAATTCGGCGTCATTTAGGAACGTTAATTAAATTAATTTCTCAGGCCAATTTCAAGCACTGCTGATAATGTTTGTTTCGTAATTAAAAATAATCACAATATGCCATCGAGCAAAAAATAAATAAATATTTATTACAAAAAAAAGTTTTAATTATGGAGGTTTATGATTGAAATAAATGCTGTGATTGTGTAAGATTTCTGCATGTTATCTTATTAATTACAGCAACAACTGACTTCATATAGATACAGTACATATTGCCATATCTCTTTTGTTACACCACAGGAAATCAAGGATTTGCATAAGCATATATCATTATTATAGTGTGCGGTGTGTGTGCGTCTCCTGTGAGAATGTATATGTTTAATCATATTGTTTCCTTCCTGTCTTGTTCCAGAATCAAACTCTCTTGCCTCTAAGGCATAAAAACTGTATTGTTTCATCCTGCATTTAAAAGAGTGAATGAATTCCCTTATCTTCCTTCACTGACTCTCCAAGTAACTTAATCCAAAGTCTGTGAAATATTGTTCCTCAATTACTGATATCATCTATTGTTGTGGCTTTTTATACATGTATATTATGTGTGTTTTTTTTTTGTTTTTTTTAAAAGGAACTTTTGCAGACTTGTCTACATTCAGACTTCTTGTAAAATTGCTTGGAGAAAAGAAATCAATATGGAAAATCTCCAGACGAGAATCGAGCTCTCTACTGTAAAAACATGATGTTAACTTTCAGCAGATTTCTAGCGATGATTCTAAACAAATCAACCGTTTGCTAGAATTATTTGGCGGATGATACACAACACAGCGTAATTTAACATGCAAATTATAATTATGAGAACATCCAGAAAGCTTGTTTTCCTCTTTTGTTATAATTCTAGCAATTCATGAAAACCAAATTCTACACGCTCGTAGCGGCAGAACAAACAGCTCTTCGCATTTTGGAGCGTGCCTGAGTGTCAATATAGGGTCTGGTTAGCATGTCAGGTTTTTCCAGACTCCTAAAGTGTTTCAAGCTGATATAGGAAGGCCTCAGCAGGGAACAATAGTGCCTCGTGGCCAAAAGAGACAAGACAGTTTTAACACATGCAAAAATATTACGAAAAAACGGATAATGGGAAAGCACAGTTTACATAATATGATGTTAACACACTGAAAGGTGTTCAATAACTAATGCAAGACAAATGTATGTTTTTTTTTAACAACTGAAATATGTGAAAGATTTGAAAATGTGATATTTGGATTTTAAGGTTTTTAATATAAAATGAAAGCAGTATACAAACGTGATTTTTGGCACTCTGAAGACTATTTGAGTCCTTAAATACGACACACACACAGAGAGAGAGAGAGAGAAAATAGACCTCATACTGCCTTAACACCGCAACAGAGAGGAAATCAATTGCCCGTCTCAATTATCTTCAATGCAACTATGATTTTTAGACGTTTAATAATATTACTGTCAAATTACTTATTTAAAAGAAAGGCAACAGTGCTTACATTTTTTTTATTGTAACATTGTAAGCTGTTTTTCACAGAGTGCATTAGTGCTCTAAATTCTATGTATCACTTATTTTTAATAAGTACTGTTTTTAGCAACAAATATTGGTACTCAAGTAAATGAAATATGTTAGATATATATAAGTTCGTATGTGAGGTTTCAATTGATAATGCTTTACATTTACTGTGATTGATAAATTATCAAAAGCTTCCCCATGGTTTTGCATGGATGTAACAAAAATAAATAGTTATAAAACAACTTTTGCGAACTTATTCAAGTCGTACTTTATCAAATCAATGAAAAGACGACTTAAAGTTTGAGAACTTTCTCAGCTCGTCTTTCTCCACACATTACACATAATTTGTCTTTTTTTCTCATGAATCCTTTCCAGTATCTCCAAACAGACTGTAACTAACACGGTCAAAAGAACGTCCCTATAGGCGACACAATACTGGGGCCTTCTCCTTTGTTTTGAGAATTCAATAAAACACATTTAACCAAACAGTTTAAAATCACATCAAGACTATAACGCTACAGCTTTTACAGACCTGTCACCTCACTTCACCTGCCACCATGAGTCACACAATGATTGTTCTTTTTTTAAACTCCTTTAACCCTCTCAGTTGCTGTCCAGCTTTAGTTTTATTGTGTTAATTACAAAAGTACGATAAACAACAAATAACACTGCGCACATATATATATATATATATATATATATATATAACAGCACATTATAAATTCTGATGACTGGAGTTATTTGATGA